AAATTGAGCAAAACTAAAAAATATAAAAAATCGAATTTTTCATAAGGGGCCCCCCTTTGAATTCTGATTTTAAAATATTCAAACCTCCATTGCTCGGTAACCGTTGAGCAAATTGTATTGATATTTCTGGAATTTGTAGCTTTTATCAAGTTCTAAATGGCCTGTAATTTACAATATTTCTAGATTTCTAGTTTTTGAGCAAATTGAGTTTGAAGTTTTTGACAAAATTGGGACTAAAAGTCAACTTTGAGGCTCAATTACTCAAAAACTATTCAAGATATCGAACTCAATTTTGCATAGATTTATAGAGAATTTAAGGCTCTTTCCAATGATGTATAATGTATTTCAATTTACTCAAAATTTAGCAAAGATATGGGCAATTGTTCATGACCATGTCAAGATTTTGAAAAATTTCCAGAAGCAAAAATATTTTATTTTTATTTTTGTGTCTGCTTAAAATGGGAATTTGGAATTGATATCAGGGTTATTTTCTACTAATTTTGACCCGCTCTATCGATTCATAAAGTCAAAATTGAGCAAAACTAAAAAATATCAAAAATCGAATTTTTCATAAGGGTACCCCCTTTGAATTCTGATTTAAAAATATTTAAACCTCCATTGCTCGATAACCGTTGAGCAAATTGCATTAAAATTTCCAGAATTTGTAGCTTTTATCAAGTTCTAAATGGCCTGTAATTTACAATATTTCCAGATTTCTAGTTTTTGAGCAAATTGAGTTTGAAGTTTTTGACAAAATTGGGACTAAAAGTCAACTTTGAGGCTCAATTGCTCAAAAACTACCCGAGGTATCCAACTCAACGCTTTTTCGATTAATCTAACATTACGAAATGTATGAAAACAGTCATAAATTAATATTCTATACGTTCATGCATTAATCTCAATTTTTGAATATACTGCCCTTTTGCCAGTTCTGATTTTGTATTATCTTGGGATTTTGAATTAACATAATAAAATCTTCGTAGGATCTGTTTGTTTTTGAAATGCAATTTTACATGGTATTCTTATGGTAAAAGCATCAAGGAATTAACGAAATTGCATCCATGATCAACTAATCAAGTGATTCTAGAGCTGCAAAAAGCTTCTGTCTACACAAAAATAAACAATTCTTACCTTGATATGTTGTAACAAGAATCCGCAGAGGCTGGCCTATTACAGCTATCAGCAATCATATCAGCACTGAAAATATCCACCTTATAGACCATTTTCATTGAAAACTGCATACAAACCCTTACCGTCTAATCCTTTGGATGATATTCTCATCGAAACTAAAAGGCGTTTTTGGAGCTTTAGGTGTCTTAGGTGATTTCAAGCTTCCGGCGCTCAAAATCTTACGCAGCTTCACATGGAAAGGCCTTTGAAGCTTACACTCCTCTGATGGAAGTTTTTCATAGGGATTGTTTATATCCATCTGGAACAAGAGCAGAAATACTTCTTACTCTTGTAAGCTATATTTACTAACTGATATAAAAAACCTCAAATGCGTTTTTGATAAATAAATAAAATTTGCATTTCTTTATAATTTCTTATTTATTTATCGAAATGTTGGGTTTTCGATAAAATCAGTAGTTTAAAAAAAAACCTAATAAATGCGATAAAACCTTATCGCGTTTTTCCTGTTAAAAGATGCGGTAAACCACATAAAAATATACATAATTTGAAAAAAAGCTTACCAATATAATAACCATTCTGATTTCTGGATCAAAGATATTATATCTACTTTGCAAAAGAGTTCGATTAAAACTGACCTTTATCCAGGTAATAATTGACTATGATAATCTATCAGGTGTGTAATTAGGGAAATTGCGTTTTTCGCTATTTTTAAAACAAGGGTGCGGACCAAAAAGAGGGTGTCCATGTCCATTAAGGGAGCAATTATGCGTATTTGCACCGCATTAATTAGAGTTAATGGAACTGGAGGACCTTTATTCAAGGTCACACAAACATTAAAAAAAAAAAATGTAGAGGATTTTACCTCATTGCTCATTGAATTTGTCTGATTATTGAGCCTAAAATGGATCTAAATAATTCTGAGATGAGATTTGTTGATTGCAAATTCACTCCAAATTGCTTAACACGATTTTATTTCTGAAACTATAAGTCCAAGATTATTCTGAGATTTGGAGCCAAATTCTATGGAAAAAGGTACCGTAAGATGGTGTCACTTCGGACAGTGCAGGTAGCTTCGGACATTTGGCAGTTGTCGCGCATGTTCGTGGCAAGTGGGGATCCGCTGCGCCAGAGCTTTGTGTTTGGTGGTGGTAATAATGCGATTTAGTATCCTTTAATCAGTCGAGGTGGATTGTTGCTGCAGGGCGTAAGTATTTACGATTTCTGAGGGTATTTTAACGCCATGTTTTTAACGGTTTTTTAAAACATCGAAACAGTAACTAGTGGGCAGCTTTTCTCCTTCAGTATTATGATATATGAGTTAGCTGTGGTCAATACTCCATGTTTCATTAAGACTTGACCAAATTTACACAAAAATTTGCTGGTTACTTTTTTTTGTACAGGGTGATTTATAAAAAAAACGACATTTTCCAGGTGACTTCGGACATGGGTCGAAAATATAAAAAGGTGCTGGGGAACCGCAATTATATGAATTACGATCTCCAAATACTTGAAAGGGCCATTTTTTCAGTAAGATCCAAAAGGAAATACCATCAGGGAAGCTGCCGAATATTACAAAATTCCTAAATCGACCATTTGTGATAAAATAAAGGGAAATCACACCAAGAAGCACGGTGGTCAGCAAATTTTATCTGTTGCTGAAGAAAATGAATTCACGCGTGCAATATTATTGAGTGCAGAATGGGGATTCCCCCTCACTGAATTAGACATTAGAAAAATAGTTCAATCCTATATGAATAGAAGAGGAAAGAACATTAAAAAATGTAAAAACAACATCCCTGGCCGAGACTGGACAAAAAATTTTCGACATAAAGAACTCACTATTCGCCTTACCCAAAACATAAAAAGATGTAGAGCTGAAGTCAATGAAACCACAATAAGGGAATACTTTGATGCCTTACAAAATTTGATTGTTGACGTTCCACCAGAAAACATAGTCAATTATGATGAGACGAATTTTAGCGACGATCCTGGAAAGCCAAAAGTTATTTGCAAACGTGGTGCAAAGCACTGCGATAGGATCATTGACTCATCCAAAACAAATATAAGGGTCCTACTGAATTTTTTGCAGACTGCGAGACGCCCAGACATTCGCCCCAAAACAAGAAGGAAGCGGGTGAACATTAAACCAGGAGAACCAGTTTATTCAAAACATTTTTCTGACAACAACAATGCATCCAAAAATAAACCCGATAATGACAAAGAAAATATCGATGTTCAAGAGAACGAAGAGGTCGAAGCTGAGACCATGTCAATAGATGGTTCATTAGATGGCGATCTTCCTTGTTTCAATAAGACTGAAATTTCATCCAGTTCTTCAGAGGACGAAGTTCCTCTAAGTGCGCTGAAGGAAAAAATGCAAACAAATGCAAAGACTGAAAACTGTGATTCTAATCTTAAGCAAAAAAATGGAATGTTCGTAGCAATTAGAATTCCTCTTGTCAATTGCTCAAAATACAAATATTATGTTGGGCAAATTATGGAAGATTATCAAGAAGAAGAGACTTGCCTAATAAGATTTATGAGGAAAAAGTCCCCAAATAACCAAGACATCTATTTTTTCTTTCCAATTGTAGACGATGAAAGTGTTGTGCCGGTTTCAGATATTATTGAGAACAATCTGATACCAATTCCTCTGAGACGTGATCGATACACATTTTCAAATTTTCCAAAGAATATTGCGTTTGAATAGGCTTTGTTATCTTCAAAGAGATTTATTTTTATTTTTGTATGTCGTCAATAAGTTTGTGTTGTTAATTTTCTTTTTGGTGAAGTTATTTTTATTTTTGACAGTAATCCTGTTTTTTTTTTTATGTAGAAATAAAGTTTATTTGAAAAATATGTAACTGCATTTTTTTAAGTAGGTAGATAAACAAAAAAAAAATAATTTAAGTAGGTAGAAGACTTGAAAAAATAAAAATTTTTAGAAAAAAAATGTCCGAAGCTACTAACCATTGTGTTTAACACCGGTTTTCATTGATTTTTCGGGGTGTCCGAATTCACCCCAAAATTGCTGGTAGCTTCGGACAGTAAAAATTCAAAAAAATAAAAAAAAACAAAAATAGCAAAAAATATCTATTATGCTAGAAACTTAGTTCGGTATGGGTGCTTCCCTTATGCAAATTTGGAGCTCCATAGACAAACTCATTTTCGAGATATTCCAAAAAGAATACAAAAATTGTCCGAAGTGATACCATCTTACGGTACTCAGAAAAATTGATAAATTACCCCAAATTACTTAACACGATTTTATCTCTGGAACTATAAGTCCAAATGAGCTGAAATATTGTAGTCCTCTACTGGAATAAGAATCGCTGAAAATTTCAGCTTTCTATCTTTAATAGAAAAAAAGTTATGACCTTCCAAAGTTTTCCAAAATCCAATTCGTAACAGATTTTCTGTTCTAACAGTTCTTTGGGATCCCCAGAACTCCATAATCCAGTAAAAATCATAATTTGAATTATTGATCGCCGTTGATTTGCTTTAGACAAATTTTAGTATCAAGAATCAATATTCTGACTATTACAGGCTTTTGATTATTTCTAGAAAAGATTTGCAGCCAATCAAACGCCTGTAATAAACAAAAATCTGACTATTACAGCCAATCAAAAGCCGGTGATACTCAAAATTTGAACAATCAATCATTTTGCGGGACTTAAGATCCAAGAAAAAATCATAATTTGAACTATCTGGATTATAAAGACAACTCAACTCATGTATAATATTTCCTATGAATGTCCTAGGAAGTTATCTTTATGTGTATTAATCCAAAATCTCTTTGATAAAGTGAACATACTTATTATAATGACTGTGTCAAACTTCTGACAATCATTAGAATGTCAGTATCATCAGTATAAAAATTGAAAATTACAATGTCCGATGCTGAGGGCACTCAAAATCAACCGAAAAAAACACGTTTTTGCTGCGACCCGGTAAAATGCCGTTGCTGCAGTAAGTTACAACCAAAATCGACTCAAAATCGCTCACTAAACCATAATTTTCCCGAAAGATTATCGCATCCCTCAGCGGTTCGTCATGGCCATTATGTTGCATTTGGCTTTGCAAAACAACTTCAACACCAGGGTGGTACTCAACGTGGCCATCGTCGAAATGGTTGCGCCGCCCCAAGAAGAAAACATCACCGAAGTGGCTTGTCCTGAATTCGGTACACCAGAACCCACCCAGAAGGTACAAATTTCCACATAATTATTGTCCAGCATTTTCTTTTACAGAAGTCTATCCTAACATACTACCACTATACAATCTCAAATAAATATGAAAAATTCCAGGGTGGTAAATTTCCATGGCCGGCAGAAACAAGAGCCCTGGTCCTCTACGCTTTTTACATCGGCTACACGGTACTGCAAGTACCCGGAGGCTGGATTGCTGATAAGTACGGCGCCCGCTATGTTATACTTATATGCGTTTTAGTCACGACGGCCACTACAGCCATATTTCCAATATGTACTCAGAGTTTCGGCCACGTAGCTGCCATAGTGCTGAGGTTCATTTTGGGAATGGCTCATGTAGGTTTAAATTATGTAACTGCTTGAAATAATAATTTAATTGTAGAGTCCCACTATGCCTGCTTTGTCGTCTATGGTCAGCACTTGGCTTCCGCCCAGCGAAAGGGCGGGTTGGGGCGGTATAGCTTACGCCGGTACTAATCTAGGTACCATTTTGAGTAATATATTGACCGGGGTGTTGATACACGCGTTCGATGGTTGGCCGGTAGCTTTTTACTTTTGGAGCATCTATTCTGCGATATTTTTCTTCTTCGTGCTTTTGTATTTGTTTTCATTTCCCGACACCCATCCTTTTATCTCCAAAGAAGAAGCTGATTTCATAAGAAATATGAATTGTAAGTAGGTACTTTATTAGTAGTTCGTGAGATATATAAGGTACCGTTGAGTGGAGTCATTTATTCAAAATCTAAGTCCAATTAACACAACACGTTACTATACTCTCTGACACTAATTACTAACTCAACAATAATCACTATCTAACTCATATCACAGTCAAACTTAAACCTAAAAACTACTAACTAATATTGGCAGTGGCGGCTCGTCAGAGGAGGCAAGGGAGGCTAAACCTCCCCCAAAAAATTCAAGATTCAATCTCAATTTTTCATTTCTGATTTCTAATTAAAATAATAATTCACAAATTACACAACAGAATTCCAATTTTCGATATTTCAATGTAATTTAGAAAAATCTGACAACATATTATTTCAATCAATCCCGCGCCTCCACGACAAAAGTCTGTGAAACTGGGTGCCGAATCTCGGCCAGGAAGTAGAGCTCCCCGAGAGAACAAATTTTTTCGTCTTTGTCATTTTCATTTACTTTTCGATTACGTTGACAAGGACAAAACATTCGTTCTATCGAGGAGCTCTACTCCCTTAGACGAGAATTCGGCCCCTGAGATACTCAGTAAACCGGCCCGAAAGGCCGGAGTAATACGAGCCACTGGCGCCGACTACATGGGGGCATCGGAGCAGGTGCACCCATGAGCAACCTCTCATGGGTGCGGAGCACCCATGGGAGCTCTCGTGGGAAGTACGGAAGTACAAACGTGTTAAATGCTCATTCCGTTCCATGTGTTAATATCCAGTAACATGTAATTTAAATGTACACAACTTTGTATAAGAATTATACAAGTGGTATTAGTATTCTGTCCTTCATATATTTGTAGTCAGTTGTATGCTCTATTACTTTATGTTGCTATTCTCCATCTCTATTCTTTGTGATAATAATCGGGAAGTCCGGCCTACAACGGGAAGTCTGGCGCTTGCGCCGTATAGTGAATGTATGCCATAAAATTTGGTTTTGCGCGTGGGTAGGGATGGTAATGATCTATCGATGTTTTGTAGAAACCAAAATATTATGTGTTTGAAAAAGCTTCAGGGACTTGTTATCCTTTGGTACTGATCCTTATGTTATCCTTTTTACCTGGTCGATTACCCCTGTTTGTGTAAATAAAGTCGTCTATTTAAATTGACCCTATGGCGTGAAGTGAGTGACCCTGTCTATATGTTTTGATAATTTTTTTTTTCAAGAATCTTTATTTTTATTCGGTACAATTGACCTTTTGTTTGGACGCCATATTATGCGGTGCGCGAACATAGTTGCCAAAAGTGGAAAAAAAAATTACTAGCGTACTGTCAACATTAAAAACAAAAAGTTATTGAATAAGTTACATTAAAAATTTAAATTTGCCGCCTATTACGAATGTTTTTGTCCTTTTTGAAAAGAAAAGCCATCATATTACCATCTTAACCCATACCACCATCAATCATTTAGTTGCTTTTGTATTTAATGTTGACAATCCATTAGTAATTTTTGATTTCTTTTTTTGGCAACTATGTTCGCGCACCGCAATATGGCGTCCGAACAAAAGGTCAATTAGGCAATCTCAATGAACTATAACCAAAAACTGGAATGCGAACACATAATAACGAACGTGAAGCCTAGTGCCGCTGCTGCGGAGGGGATACCTGTTTTTGTCGCACTCATTATGTTAAATGGCGGAAATTGCTTCCAACACGTATTCCAATTGATGAAACCTGTGAAGGTAAATATGACAAAACTTTCCAAAACGTCATATGTCAGCGAGCAACAGAAAAAAACAACATTCCCCTCTGTGGCATCTGTCTTTCATGGCTACATTTTTTTGGCAGATATGGCAATGTGTGCGCAATCCAGTTTTTTACTATAATTCATTGGGCAATCTATTCCAATATGGCGGTTCATGTCAAATTGTGGTGACGTTCATAAAAAAAGCATTTTTGCTCAGTGCCCTTATTGTTGTAGATGCCAAACATGACAATATGACAATGCCAATGTCAAACCTAAATGTCCAGAATGTGACAAAATAATAATTTTTCATTGATTTCTGTCAATAACCATGTAAACAACACGGTGGGTAGAGTGTTTCCACAACTATCAGACCACATACCCACCTCTACCACGTAAAACCCCCTTCAGCACAGCCATCATACCACTACCCACCTCCACTGCAAACCCCTTTCCGTGAAGCTCCTACCCTAAAATCCCCCCACTATGAGCCCCAAACAAGATGGCCGCCATAGCAATATAATGTGTCACAAATTCGTCCGAAATCCACGAAATCACTCCGAAATCCCTTCGGAATCTTTCCGTAAACCCAAAAATCCCTAGCAATTGGCTCAAAATTCATAAATCGGCCAACGCGGCCGTTTTTCAGTTTATACTGATACACTTTTGAATATACTTATGAGATAAGTAACAGTCTGAAATTAAATTAAAATATTTGCGAAATCACCTGAAATTCTCCGAAATCCTTCGAAATCACCCGAAATCCTTCGAAATCAACCGAAATCCCTCAAAATCGCTCTAGATCTGAAATCTTGTCACAGTGCATAATCCCTCGAAAGCTTTCCGAAATCCTATTTTTCACTAGAAAAAATTTGAAATTTTGGGAAAATGAGCCTTTAAGGCCGAAACTCACTAGCAACACGCCACGTCATGCTTCGCCACGCCACGCCATGTGACGAAAATGTATGCGTATATTCTTCCATTTATTTATATGTGCCGCGTACACACTTGTCACACGCGATACCACGTCATGGCACGCCACGCCATCCGTCCATTTACACACAAACTGTCCCACGTGAACCTGTGTCACATGGCGTAGTATGGCGTGGCGTGTTGCTAGTGGGTTTCGGCCTTTAACCTTTTTCCTAACATACAAAAAGTTTCAAATTTTTGCCTTTGCTAGTTTTTTAGGAGAACATTGAATTATGTGAGACTGTGTTTTCAATTAATTCAGTTATTGGAGGTTGATTTCCAAGATTCCTCATGTTGCTATTTCCAAATGGAAAAAGTTGAAATTATGAGATAATGAGTCTCTAACTTTTCATTTTACATGCAAAAAGTTTCAAATTTTTCCGTTCACTAGTTTTCCAAAAAAACGTTGACATGTGTGAGACTGTATTTCCAAATAATTCAGTTATTACAGGTTAATTTCCAAGATTTTCCATGTTGTTATTTTGCACTGGAAAAATTTGAAGTTTTGGGAAAATCAGCGTTTAACCTTTCTCCGCACATGCAAAAAGTTTCAAATTTTTACCTTTACTAGTTTTTGATGAAAACTTTGAATTGTGTGAGACTGTATTTTTTCAATTAATTCAGTTATTGTAGGTTGATTAATTTCCAAGATTCTTTATGTTGTTATTTTCCACTGGAAAAATTTGAAATTTTGAGAAAATTCTTCTACTTCTAAGAACTTCTAATCTTCCTCTTTATATGCCAAAAGTTTTAACTTTTCCCCCAATTAGTTTTCCAGGAAAACTTTGAAAGTGTGAGACTGTATTTTCCAAGAGGCAAAACCTTGGAATTCTTTATTAAAAACTTGGGGAATTTATAAAGGGAATTTGGGAAAATTTATGGGGAATTTGGAGGATTGTGTTCGATGTTGGTCAAATTCCAAGGAATTCTCGTCGAATTACACCTACATGGAATTCCTTGAAATCTTATTGTGGAATTCCAGTGAAATTATATCGAAATCGAAAAATTCCCTCGGAATTAAACAGAATTTTCGTGGAATTTCCATGGAACCACGAAAAATTTCGGCGGAATTCCGAAAAAAATGGAATTTCGAGGATTTCCATAAAATCTTCTAGTGAAATTCTGAGGAATTTCTATGGAATTAACAAAAATTTTCGCAGAATACCCATGGAATATTTATCGTTAAGGCTCCCCTAAATTAGTTGGTAAAAACGCCATATAAAAACCGTTTCTAAATTCCCTAAAATGAACCAAAATCATCTAAAATCTCATAAATCTTTTAAAATTACGTAAAGTTTTTTAAAAATCCTCAAAATTTTACAAAATCAATAAAAATTCAATTATGTACATATTTTATGGAGTTAACTAAACTTCGAGCGGTTAATTGTTGAAAATTTGTATACAAGTTGGTCAAAATCCCAGAAAAACTTGTAAGATCTACTTAAAATCACTGAAAATCTTTAAAATCTTTTAGCCTCCTCACTTGAAATAGTTACGAGCCGCCACTGAATATTGACCTTTATATACCCTTAATCCATCTTTGTAGAATCCAGAATAAACGAAATAAGAGTCTTTTCCTGGAATGAATCAGTATTTTCTAGATTTCTAGATAGACTCATAACACCGTACACAAAAAAAAATGTCTCGTCTCAACTGGGTATTACCGTTGATTGGTATTACCCTATATATTTCATGCCTTACGAACTCTTATAACACCATATTCATTATTTTAGCTAACAATCGTGCTATAGTAGGCAGATCGCTGAAAACTCCCTGGCTAAAAATCATCAGCAATATGCCGTATTGGGCCAACATTGCGGCCCAATTCGCCCACAATTACATCTACTTTTCCTTAGTCACTTACCTGCCCACTTATCTGCGGGATATTCTACAATTCGACGTATCGGAAGACGGATACTTTTCAGCAATTCCGTTTATCGCTCTATGGGTAACCTCACTGATTTTGGGCGGTACAGCTCATTATTTTATACGCTTTATGACTGAGAAGTGGTTCAATATTATTTGCGGAGCTGGATGTAATGTAGCATCGGCTGCCCTAATGGTAGGGGCAGTTTATGCAGGTTGCAATAGGATGATTTGTATAGCACTCTACATATTGAGTATGATACTCAAGGCGTTTTATTACGTCACTTTAACCACCAACATTAACGCCCTTTCCAGGAATCACGGCGGACTGATGTTTGGTTTTTGTAACGCTCTCGGCTCTTTGAGCGGAATCATTGGCAATGCTATTATAGGAAGTTTAACGAAGGATGTAAGTATTTTTCCAGGGATGAATTTTTTGGTTGAAATTTTTGGTTTTAGAAACAATTCAAAGGCTGGGAGATATCGTTTTGGATAATGTTGGGAGTGGCTTCAGTGACGACGTTGTTTTTTTTTATATTTTCATCTGTGGAGAGACAAAAGTTTGATTATGACGAGGATACACCTATGGATCAGTGATCAGTAATATATGTGGCTGAAAGACTTTAAAAAAAAAACGATTTTTCTTTGCATTCGAATTTTTAATTTGTATTTTAATATTAAGGTAAGTTTATAAGGTAACAAACAAACAAAACTTATAGAAGGTTTTCTGCACAGGTGACTTTGCTAGAGTCAAAATTGTCCTGGATAAGTACATTATAAGTTTTGAGTTTTTTCTCATAAGGACCAAATTAAAATCTTCACCATTTATATTTTAAAAGATTAGTGACAAAACGTCACATTTCTGTCAATCGTTTCTTATTTTCCAAACAAAATTATGCACTCCAACAATTCGGGTTCGCTTCGCGTAATGAGTGCCTCGGACGTGAATTTGATTGCTCCAAAAAGAAAATCGACGGTGGCATCTCAAACTGAAAATTGTAGCAAACTGTGCAACCTCCGAGAAATGTCGGTGCAAGAAATCAAAGACCAGTACGACAAAACGCTGAGTTTCTTAAACGATTGCCACGAGTACATGAACGAGATTTTTACCAGTAAATTCAACAGTAACAAGGTTGATTTTCGCGTGCCCGCGGTGCCGAATTATTTTAGTTTGTTGGAAATGTTTTTGGAACGAAACAAAGTGCAAGAAATACGTACCAAAAGGGACTTGCTCAAAGATCAAAAGTGGTTTGTTGATTTGAGAATTGCTCAACATGGAAACGGCAAAAGTAACTATCAATGTTTAATCCAAAAAAAAAAAATCTTTATTAAAATAATTTATTTTAGCCAACAAACAAGAACAATTTCCAATAAACCTAAAAAGCTTATCAACGGCTTTTGAGGAAATTTATAAGACTTGTAATAATTTTGAAAGCAAATCTGAAATACTAAACACCAAGCATAAACCTCCGATTAAGTTTAGGTACAAAGAACCTTCACAAGAAAAACCAAAATTTAATCCGGAACAAGGAGATCAAGCATTGCAAAGGAAAAGTACCATCGAAATTGAATTGGATGAAAGTTTTATCGAATCTCATTTGAGTTTTACCGAGTCTATGGAAAATTTCATTGAATCTGATCAGAGTTTGTCGGAGTTTATTAACTCTGAAACTTTATCCAATTCTGAACCGCATACCAGTAGTCTTTCGGAGAATTTAAATGTACAACAACTTGATGAGGAAAATGGTAATAATAATAATTCATATTGTGAAGATGTTCAGGAAAAATCTATTACTAGTAAAAATGATTGTGTTACTTTTGAAGCAGGGAGTAGTAAAAGTTCAACAGGTAAAAAGAACAAATGTATTAATAATTTTTTAAGCAATAATTTTCCAGTTACTGAAATTAATCAAAGAAAATCGTATCCATTTACTTTAAGCAACCGGGACAAATGCAGAGACGACATCAAAGAAATAATAACAGCAATGGGGCTGTATACGGAAAACGGCGACATACGACCAAACATAATTCAACTTTTAGACAAGGAATGGTCCACTAATTCTTTAAAAAAGTCAGTCAAATTCCCAACCAAGCGACAAATGGAAATTCAAGTGCATTACAACAACCAAAATATGAGAGTTGCTTCGGAGGAAGAACTAGTCCTACCGTCCGAGGGAAATTTGAATAATTTGTCCGTATTGACGGGTAGTAGCAGTACCATCGTTAGCGAATCTGAAGTGATTAATATTGAGAATCATAATAAACAAAAAAGAATTAATTGATTGAATGAGAAAAGGTTGAGTTTTATTTCGAGTTTGAGATTTGTAGAAGATTTAAATGTCTTCATTTAAAGCCTAATTAGGTCCAAAATGGGATTAAAATTAGCAAAGTTGATAGGCAAAATGTGCGTTGATGTCATTTTGTGAAAAATTGAATTTTCGAAAAACGACATTTTGAAACGGTTTTTTTTTTTTTCTGAGGTAAATATTTAAAGAATTGGATTGAAATTTTGCTTGAAATGAATAGATGATCATCGCAAAGTCATATACAGAACTCTGGTTTCCATTCTTTCTTTATTATCAGTGGCGCCGACTTTTGAAAGTCTTCATGGGTGCAGGATATTGATAAATAACTTAACTTTACACTTCACAAATTTGTTTATAGGGGGAGAAAGTGGGCGAATTTTTTTTTCTGGATGCCACGTCCAAAAACGTCTATTTTATAGTGTTTCCGATTGCTGAATTCGGGCAGCACTACAGCAACCCTCACTAAATTTTTGCATTCGATTTTATCCCCTCCCGTAAGCCTAGATGGGTAGTAATCATGTAGTATACATTTTAAACAAACATTTAAAAATTTAAGTATTTATTTTTATTTAGAAGAGCGAATCTTGATCTTGACGCCATCTAGGACCGATAATCAACACTACACGCAATTTTGCTGTGCTAAATGGTGAACGTCCAAAGGCCGACCAAAATTCAGTTCGTTTGGGTTTAACCCAAAAGTACCACTGTTTGAGAAAAGTTTTTTGGATTGATCTTCTCCGCTTTTCCATCCATAGACGCGTTTCGACCTATATCAGGTCTCATCAGTATGGCTAGGAAAAGCAAAGAAAACCAATCCAATTTTTCGCCTAAAGGCAAATGCAAGAATTCCGAAGATGGCGTCAAGATCAAGATTTGCTCTTCGGAAATCTTGCATTTGCCTTTAGGCGAAAAATTGTATTGGTTTTCTTTGCTTTTCCTAGCCATACTGATGAGACCTGATATAGGTCGAAACGCGTCTATGGATGGAAAAGCGGAGAAAATCAATCCAAAAAAACTTTTCTCAAACAGTGGTATTTTTATTTATACAGAGTGAGTTACTATATAAGCGCGCGGTCGTCCATATCTCCTATACTAGCGCAGATCAAAGAAAAAACTAAATACAAAACTTGTAGATAAACATGAGTACCTACTACATTCCTAAATTAATCTTCAGTATACAGGGTGGCTCAATAACTAGTAGTGACACAAAGTTATGTTTTTTTAAATGACTCCCCCTGTATATTATGATATTTCTGGATTCTGCGGAAAATTCTAGACATACCTATTTCATGTATAATGTCATATACTTATCTTCAACTGTTTCGGGAATATTGGCAGTTTAAAATTGACTTTTTTGCATCTTTGACAGACTGTAAAACCTAAACGGTTAATTTTAGAGGAAAAACGATTTTATATTCCTGTCTTAGATTTTCATAAGCTATCATTTGACACCAACTTTGAATTTAACCTAAGATTAATAATTTGAGCGGAATTTTTAAACATGGATTAAATTAAAGGTTGGTGTCAAATGATAGTTTATAAAAAAACTAAGAGAAGAATGTATGATCGGTTTTGCTGTGAAATTACCCGTTCAGGTTTTACAGTCTGTCGAAGATGCAAAAAAGTCAATTTTCATCTATCAATATTTCCGAAACAGCTGAAGATAGGTATATTATGCTTTGAATGTAAAACTACAGGAAGGAGCGTTTTCTATCTGTCACTACAGACAACGCCGGGACGGAAACGGCCATATTGAGCCTTCAAGTATAGACTTATCATTTGTTTTGGTGGTTCGGACACATCCTTATTCAAGCGGATGTTTAATGGATTTTAGCGGTTTTAAGTGATAAAGTCTGTTTTTTTTTAAAGATAAAAGTCAAAATGACATTCTGTTGGCAATATAATGTAAAATTGTCAATGCTTTCAAATTTCTTATGTAGAAAAGGCTTGTGGTACCAACATAGTTACTAAATTTTTGACTTGGGGAATTATCTTTAAAAAAAAAAACAGACTTTAATAAGCACTGGGATTAGTGCGAAAAGAGTGAGTCATAATATTGAAAATCATATTTAAATAAATATATGCCACTGCCAAACCGGAAACACTAGTCGGCCATATATGCAACCTCCACATATTCTGGTCGCGCAGATTCGAGGTTGACGAGGTTATGCTTCTTCCTGTAGTTTTATATTCGAAGGGTACCTATATGACATTGTACATGAAATATGTCTAGCATTTTCCGCAGAATCCAGGAATGTCATAATATACAGGGAGAGTCATTTAAAATACATAACTTTGTGTCACCACTACTTATTGGGCCACCCTGTATACTGGAAAATAATTTAGAAATGTAGTACTCTTATTTATCTACAAGTTTTGTATTGAGTTTTTTTTTCGATCTCCGTTAGTGTAGGAGATATGAATCACCGCACACTTAGTAACTCACCCTGTATAAACACAGTATCCTATTTTGGTTGTACATACATAAGGGATATCTCAGTTGCTATTGGAGTTAGGATACGGTTTTCGCGAACGTTAGCTACTTTTCTGTCAAACAGATGCTGTCAACCAAATTGTCATCGCCCTAGACGCCCTTTTCGTTTTTCAGATACAAGGAAAAAATTGCATTTTGGGACACCTCTTATTGTATCTCAGTTCTCTCATAAGTGATCGAAAGGGACAACGGGTTTTTATAGATCTTTCTACATAGATTCCAGTGACGAAATCAGTTTTTCTCTAGAAGTGACAGTTTTTGAATAATGAACACCCTGTATTAATAGCTCGTTGGATAGCTCTGCTCCTGCTGATTTCAATGGTATAAAGTTCGATAGGTTTATCTGCATCCTGTTTATTTTTTTCATAAAGAACAATGTTTCAGAAAAGGATTTTGCACCTTGAGGAAAATAAGAAAGGTCTCTTTCTAACACTGTTTCTCATAACAAAAACAGATAAAATCTGTTTGCTCGAAAACTGTACAGAGATAAAGCTATCGAATTTTATATTATTGAAGTCAGCAAAAGCAAAGCTATCCAATGAGTTTTTAATATGTAGGGTGTCTCATTTGAAATAATGTATGTTTGGTTCATAATTTGAAAACAAAGAATCACTTTTAGAGAAAAACTGACAACGCTTCTGGAATCTAAGTAGAAATATCTATAGGAACCCGTTGTTACGTTTACCGTTTACGATCACTTATGAGAGAGCCAAGATACAAAGGGTGTCCCAAAATGCAACATTTTCAAAAACACTGAAAAACGAAAAAAGCGATGACAATTTTGTTAACGGCGTCTTTTGTTTTTCAGAGGAAAGTAGCCAATGTTCCCGAAAACCCGAGCGAAAACCGCATCCTTCTAACTCCAATAAAGATATCCCTTATGTACAACCAAAATGGGACACCCTGTACAGTCGAAGAAATAGGTACAAGTAGAAGAAAAACAAAATCAGAAACTAAGTAAAAAAGTAAGCCTAATACCAAGTACTTATAGCTGAAAAACCGTTGGAAATGTTGGAATGACCATTAAAAACGCTTGTATTTACTTCCGCATTTCCCACGAGAGCTGCGTTATTTATATCCAGGGTTGTGGGCGTGGCTTGGATTACGGTATTTTCCTTGTCTCGTTCTCGGAAAGGAGGGGTCTTTGTTTTTCGGAGAACTGGCAACCAGCTTTTATTGAGGTTCATGCCCTCTTCTTTTCTGTTGTCCGGATTTGTGAACCCAGATACCTTCAGGACGAGATGCAACACCTAAAATCGGCACTTGAAGGAAATGGGTACTCCAAGCAGCCATAAGACCGAAGCAGCAGCGCACAACTAACAAGGAACCAGCACAGGTGGCAGGGAGAGCCTTTCTTCCCTATATCAAAAGTGTCACAGATCGCATAGGACGAACGCTAGAAAGACACAACGTTAAGCCTATCTACAAGCCCACAAGAACAATTCAGCAAAGTCTAAGATCGGCCAAGGATCCTAGGGCACCTCTTGAATCGGCTGGCGTCTATAGAATTCCCTGCTCTTGTGGATCTGTCTATGTAGGAACAACCAAACGCTCTATCAACACCAGGGTCAAAGAGCACAAAAGAAACTGTCAGCAAGGACAAGGAGGTTAAAATTGCAATCGATTATTTACGCGCCAAAATTTAAAGAGCTCCAAGTACAGAATTAAGCGCCCTCTTCAACTCAACTGTCAATATTACATGCCATTATTGAGCGTCCCCAGCTGCTCTATTTTTTGAATCCACTTGGACATACCAAGATTAGGATTACTTGGTTCAAATTCTGGAATGCATTCAGTTTTTATATACGTGAAAGATTCCTGGGCTCAAGAGAACGATTGCTCCATCTTTGTCAGTATTATGGAAATAACAATATGGGTGACTAGGACAGAGCAATCGTTCTCTTGAGAGAACGCTGTTCCGCGGTGACGAGTATACGGGCCCTGATAAGTGAACTGAATATCTATTTGCATACATTTTGTCTCCAGGCTCTTTGTTTCACAACAGTTTTCAACGCAACACAAAGAATAGTAGATTATACCACGAGTCAATAATGATAGCTATTATTCCCGAGGGAGTAACATTCCGAGGGAATATTAGCCATTATTGCGAGTAGTATACTCTACTTTATATAGATCTACAACAAATTTAATAATTTCAGATTTTGAATGAACTATTTCATTTGACAAACTCGGACTTTTGGGATAATTTATATGGTTTCCATGACTATTTACTTGACAACGGGATTAATGACCATTAATCCCGCTCGGGAATAATAAATGCCATTATACTGCAAAAATCACAAGTATAATACTTACATTAGAAGAACACAAAGAATCGGTCATTATTGTAAAACCAAAAAAGGAGCAAAATAGTCAAGATACTAAGAAGGAAATTAGACATCGAGTTAAGCCTGAGGGTTTGAATATTACAAGGTTTCGTCAAGCCTCAAATGGGGCTGTGATAATAGGCAGTGAGAATT